ATCCATGAAACCCTCAGATCTCTATATTTTTGCATCTTGAAGATGATCATCCACACCTACACTTTGATACAAAAAAATCACTTGCTCGAATAAAATTTTTTAGTCGTACAAGTTGTTTTGTGCAGAGTATGTTTAATAATAAAACTGAACTGTATTAATTTATTATCCATATTGTTAAGTCCAACCAAAGGAGAAATGACTCATACATTACTTAAAACCTAGGATACTTAACTTCACCATGTATGCTATTCCATGCTTCCAGAAAGTGGTCCTGTGAATTTCCAGATTTTATCAAATTACAAACAAAGACAGCGAAAAATTAATTAACTTAAATGAGAAAAGTATAAGGATTGTGTAAGAGAATCAAAGTATATGCCAATGTAAACTACCGTCTCTTCATCTGCAAGGACACTCTGGTCTGTCATCTGTCTTCATGGCTGTTGTATTTCATGAATTTCCTGGGATATTAGCTGATTTTGGATAGTACAGCAGCTTGTACCTTCAGAACATATAAGATGAATTGTTGTAGGATATTCAGAGAGTCTTTATGTATTTAAAGGGGCTGTACGGATGAGATGGCTCAATATTTAAGATCACTTATTGCTCTTTCAGAGGACCTGGGTTCTATTGTAAGCCCTCTTTAGATAGTGCTCTGTTGTTTATATCTAGGGAATTCACAGCCCTCGTCTGCTGACATCTATGATCATCAGTCATGCACATGGTACATATACATACATGCAGGCAAAATATTCATACAGATAAAAATAAAATATAATCAATAAAAATTAATTTATAAGTGTATATGATTCATGGGATAGGATTAATGCTCATGGGGAAAGAGAACAAAGGGTTGACTCTCTCTCTGAATGGAGTCTTATAAAATGAATATCCAATAAATTCTGAACACAACATTCAGATATTGCATGACAGTACTTGTCTGTTTGTTTATTATGACATGTGTTCATTTTTATTCTCACTGAGCATAGCAGGCAAGTGACAGGGTCAATATCTCCACAATGCCCATTCCTGATTATCAATTCTTTTAATTTCCCTGTCTTTCCCAAAGTCACAAGCAAGGCTCAGAGGACTCCTCAGTTTTCCTAATTCAAACAAGAAAGTGACACGACAAGAAGCACAGTAGATCAGTTAAATCTGGTGGACCAGGGCAGACACAGTTTATAGGGGCAGGAATATTAGAAGTCTCTCTATATCTAGTATTGTCCCCAGTGCCTCATGTATGCTCACCAAAATGACTATAGTGCACACTAAGTCAGCAGATGTAGATATTGTGGGGGACTCAGAAGCTACCATTTTTCACTAGTTCTAATGACATCCAAATTTTAAATGTACTTCTAACTCCACCAACATATTCAATCCTTCCATAGATAATAAAATAATGTCTTATTCTCAGTTCACTTTTCCTTGATAAGTACTCTAACTTTTATAAACTTAATGTCTATCTCTGCTGCCTCTATCATCCTATACACATTAGGATTATTCTAACAACTACCTGAGAATTTTGACAAAGAACCACTTAGGTTTCTGAGGGAAGACATTATTGTAGCACCTAAAGTTAAAACACTTACATTAAGACTTGATGACCTGACCATGACAAGAATATCTCAAGCAATAGAGAAATAAGAGCTTTGCACGAATCAGGCACCTCACGCATCATCCCAAATACAAATGGAAACTGCAAGTGTTTTAGATAATACATGCTATATTCAGTTTTCAGATACTGTATTATGCTGTGCAACCAGGTTGAATATAGCCCTTGGAATAAATCAGGATGCTTTATTCAAATACAAAAATTAATTGGCACATGGGCACTCAAAGTTGCATAACCAGCCACACTACTTACTTTGAGAGCTGTATACAGACTTGTCTTCCTAGGAATTTATTGTTCTAGGGTGACACATTGGTGACTTGTTCAGTAGGTTGTAGGTTACTTTCTTAGAGCAGTGGTATGGGAACTCCTCAGACTAAAACATCCCACTGGTGTTATACCTTCTTCCGTTACCAAGGTCCTTTAAGGACACTAATGAACACTGCATCTGTGCCTCTATTTCCCCCTGACTTTTAGTGAGAAGCATTCTTTGTCATTTCTGCACTAATACCTAATAGGGAAGAACTGAAATAAAAAATGTAGAAAAGTCCCCTATAAAAGACAACCTTGCAAAGAGATAGATTTTTCAAGATATATTGTCAACTCTGTATTTCATGGTAGCACTTCAGCTAGTTATGGACATTTGGTTTTTCCAGAGTTAAAGTTTTATTCTCATGGGAGAAGCAGCATATCTTGCTTCACCTGTTGATAACTTGCTTGCTCTGGTTACAATTAAACCTGACAATAGCAAGGACAGTGAGGAAGGATTTATTTGAGTTCTTAGTCTGTACGATCCCTCACAGAAATGTCCAGAGATTTGTTCCCAGAATAATTATAAATCCTTACAAGTCTGCTATCAACAGAGAGTGGAGAGATTGCTCAGTGGTTGAGAACAATTGCTTCTCTATCATTAGGTCCAGAGTTCAAATACTGCAGTCAGGTTGGACAGTTCACAACAACCTGAACCTCCAGTTTCAAGGAATCATATGTTGTCTTCTGGCTTTCATAATTACCCATGCCCACCACACACACATACATGTGCTCATGTAGTCTCTGGGACAAATACAGTGACACAGGCACACACATGTACAAAATAAAATAATGACTTTTGTTTGTCTGTAGCAAGCAAAGACATTAATTTCAGTGATTTTTTCATTTATTTCTGATATTGTATTTATATAATTTCTCCCTTCCCTTCCCTTTCTCCAAATCCTCTCATATACTCCTCCTTGTTCTTTCAAATTCATGGTCTCCTTTTTTAAAAATTATTATCATGTATATATGTATATACATATTTATTCCTTAATGTATCCTGTTCAGTCTGAATATTGTTTCTCATATATATGTTTTACAGAAGATGAGGTGCCAGAAAGACTGTAGGAACCAGAGGATATGGGACATTGCTGTGATACTGTGTCTCCTAAGAATGTGAGAAGTTACACAGATAAAGTGTCACCAGCATGACTGCCCAAACATGAGCTGAACAAGGACAATTATAGACATTCTAAACTAGACAGAGGAAAGCCCAAGATACCTCAGTCTCACACAAAGGACTATAAGCAGCTAAGTAATGTTCCCTTCTTCTCCAGGGAACAGCACACCAATTGGTTATTCAGTAAAATATCTGTTTAAAAGATTTAAGTATGGACGTGGAAGATGGCTCAGTGGTTGAGAGTATTTGCTGTACTTGCAGAGGATAGCAGCAACTCTCGTGCTATCTAAACCAATCTATCAAGGTTCACCTACTTGAGCCATTCACAGCAGGGGCAGGTGCCCTCCAGTTTAATGCACATTGTTCACTTGACTCCTTTAATCTTTACTTTCTCTGACATTTGGCCAAAAATACTTCCTAGAATTCAAACACCGATCCCCATTTTTCTGGATACCCTTACTCTTGGGAAGATTAGCCCAGATTTTCTTTTTGTTTGTGAGACAGGTTGTAATGTGTTACCCTATCTGAACTCAAATTTGTGATCCTCCTCTGCCTGGTAGGAGGTAGGACTCCATGTATTTCCCAACACACTGGTTTGTCTACTGTTTAAAAACTGATTGTTACAATTTGTTGTTTCACAGGGGTGCAACTCTGTAATATCATATATCATACAGTTTAAAGGTGTAGATGTTTGTTTTTTCATCACCCTGGAAGTAAAATGTTCAAAGTCAAATTGTTTCTAGGGCCATTCAGTGCCAAAGACACATTGCCTTGTTTTCTTTGACTTATACACCCATCACTGCATGTCTGTGTAGAGGACCAGACAGCAGTCCTCTTATAACCAGCTGTTCCTCCTTCTATTAACATATAGGTGAACTACGGACATAAGGGACCACCCTATTAAAGAATTAATTAAATATATATGCAATGATCCCTTTTCTAAATAATGTCACATCTGAGCTTATAGGAGCAATGTGATCACATTTGCCATTCAAACTTGTATACTGTTTAGATTCTGTTCCCAGGCCAACCTGGACTGTGAAATCAAAACCAGTATCTATGTTCCCCGTCACATCTCTAACTGAGCTTTACTGGGCGTCTCAAATTTAACATGAGGCGCAGTTTTTTTGGCAGTCTGGTCTCTTTGTCAAGTATTTTTCTCTACAGAAGCTACTTCCTTGCAGTTATGAGGTTAAAACTCTGGAAAGTTCTCTTTTACTTATTTTGACTTTCTGTCCCACATAGGGTGATTTAAAATGCACTCTGTCCAATCTCATTACCTCCTTCCTGTCTCCTGGGTGTTTTCACATAATCGTCTTGCTTCCAATTGAAAGATCCTGTATGGTCTTTGCACACAGTTTGTTTATTGTCAAGTATTTCCATATTACATGGTAGTGACATTAGTACAAAGTGAGATGATTTTATTCCCTACTTAGAAAGTTCTCTCAGTACCTCTTCTCAATCATAGGAAAAATTCATGTTCCTGTCAACACTGCAGGGTAGGTGCAGCCCATGAAACTGTCTGCCTTCATCCCTCAGGTGCAACCAGAATTCTGCTTTTCGTTACACTGCATGTTCCTTTCTCATTCCGTCCTTCTTCATTTCGCTTCCTCTGTCCCCATCCTCTCTTTCATCATTGTACCTACCACTTACTGCAAACCTCCCTTATGTCTCCATTTACATTGCTTCTTCTCATTGAAGGTTTCCATGGGCAGCCTTCATCATAGCGCATTGCCGTAAAGCCTATTTCCCTTCCATTACATTCACCTGTACTGTACACAGGAACATACAACAGCCAGCACACTTCTTATTGTGCTTACTTGTAGGGGGAATCATAATACTCCGCCATTAGCCACGTGGCATATTAGAGGCGCATACAGATGAAATAATAAAAGGGCGGTTTACGACACTCCTAACCACACCCACTTTGGGCGTAACTTAAGATGCCTATGGACTTAGGTGGTGAACTCTGCCACTAGCCAGGCCCACTTTTGGGCGTGGCTAGAGGCCTGCACACTTTCTGAATTTCCTCTTCAAAGCACAAGTGTGGACAGAACATGGTATTCTAGACCTACTTGGTGCCACCTTCCCTGTTTTGAACAACTTGCTACACTGACAGTCACTACCAGCAGCACAAGAGGTTAGTCTCAAAACAAGGGCTGGTTGGTACATGCTAGTTAAAACCACAAGCTACAGTCCAACTCCCTGGTGTGACTAGTGAGCCTCAATCTTTCAAATCTCCATTGTGAAGATTCTCCTCCTTTATATGTGGGGTTTTTTTTGTGAGTCTCTCAGCAAATAATGAAAAGGACACCTTCCACATGTTATCAAATTAGAATCTTCTGTGCCTGTGTCATGCCACAAATATGCCAACCTCTACCTTATGTTCTTTGGTGAATCTCATTTGTATCACTAAGGATTTGGTGCTTCTGTAGCATACACATTGGCTATCACTACAGAGTATTTAAGTCATCTGTCATTTTTTTTAATGTGTAAGAATTTACAGGTGGGTTTAGATTACTCTCAGATCAGAAAACAGAAAGAACAAAAAAGCTGAAGGAAAGCCACCTGCCAGTCTCCTTTAATTATCCTGAAGACAATAAAACTGCAACCAAGCCCCTGTGGGGTTCCTCTACCACCTTCTTCCAACCCCATGCAGAGATAACATTTAGGAATTATTGTCAATCTTCTGCCTCTAGTTGCTTCAAATATTAGGATTTATCTCTCTGATATGGAAAAATATTTTCTATACAAACTGCTGTGTTTTTGAAAGGGGAAAATTCTTCCTACACTGTTATATTAATGGGTGTTTATGGGCCTCCTCTCTGGTAATCAAAGGGCTCCAGAGATATCTACTTAGAGAGTTCAGTTCAACAAGACAGACATTTCGTTTTACAGTAAACCAGGTTATTTCATTCATGATATGGATTTTGCTTTCAAATGTTAACTAATTTCTCCATTCTGAGTACTGATCACCATGAACTCATTTTTATTTCCTATTCAAAACAAAATAGCATTGGATAAAACACCCCCACAGAGCCACACTAAAAGGGTTTTGAGCCTGTTATAATTTCTTATATTATGAAAGTCTCATTAATTATACTGGATTCTATAATTCTAATACAAGGCTGGGGTTAGAAATCTCTTTCTTAAATATGTCCAACTTTTCCAACCCAAAACACAAGTGAGGTAAAGTGCTTTGGGGGAAGGATGCACAATACATTTCATGGGAGATATATGCAAAAGTCTTCCAGTATCATATGTAAAAACAGGTTTCTGACGAAACCTGGCTTGAAATATTAATCACAGCAAGGGAGATTTTTTGAAGATCTGTATCCAACAATATGTAAAGTGAGTTTTGACACTACAGTAAAGAAAGAACAAAAATTATTTCTCTGTGATCTATTCTTTTTCTGTCTCCAGGAGATGAGTTAGAATTCTCTCTGAACTCTTTGGAGACTAGCTAGCTTTTGCCCCATTAGGTGAATCTCAAAGCAATGCAGACTCTGATTACTCAATACTACAGACACTAAACTTGAAGCAAACTTGTTTATATTTTGAACAAAAAGATGACTGTCTTTTATATGAATTAATCACTCTGACAGTTGCTTTCTACTATATTTTCTGTATCACCCAGGCTCTTAGGCTACATAGTAGATAATAAAAGTGCCAAAGTAAAAGATTATAAAACACTCCAAGATTGACATAGGAAGATTCTGTATGCCGCAGAAATAGCAAAGAGAATGGAAAACTAAGAAGGTAATTTACTTAAGAAAACATGGCATTGGGTTGTTAGATTGTACATACCTGGTGATATGGTCATAACTGTTCTAGAAGGTAGTCTCATCTTCTGAGTTGTAATCTTAGAATAGCAGATCGTATGACCCAAAAGGGGACTACACAGACACATGCCATTGGCCATAATGATATAAAGGGTGTGGAAAGTGACAATGGCTCTTTACTGGAAAGCACACCATTTAGGCCAGCAGCTGAGTAGGCAAAAACTAAGAAATATTACTGCCATGTATGTTGGAGAGCAAACATTCAGATGGCAGGAGACTGCTTGGAACTGAGAACAGATGAAAAGGAAAGACCTTGGCTGGAGGGAAAAGAATTTCTGTCTTGCAGATGCTGAGTTCACCAAAGAAAAACTGATCCAAGAATTTCTATTCTTACCATTATCTGGACATTTCTCAAATGAGTCAGCCTGCCTTCATCCTCTTATGTCTGAATGTAGGCTATTTGTGCTGTTTTCTACATCCAGACTATCAGGTTATCATGAAATCAACACAAAGGAATTTCTTTTTTTTAAGACTGTACTTCTACACACATGGTAACAACATTGTGGTTATGTGTATTGGTTTCTTGTTGGGGTAATGATAAATACCTCTAATTCCAACCCTTGCATGACAGAGACAGGTGGATCTAGGTGAGGTCATTACAGTCTGGTCTACATAGTGAACTACAGGACAGCCAGGGTTATGTAAATAGATGGTGTCTCAAAAATAAGTAAATAAAAACTTTTAAATTCCTATGTGTTGGCTTCTTTTCTGGCAGGCTGCACCCATACAGAAGAGTCCTATTAAAGGCCATCATACAACGATGGATTTCCTATTAAGAATTCTGGATTTGCTTCTTGAGTTATTTTAATACTTTGGAAATCAGCCCTCTGTCAGATGTTGGGTTGGTGAAGATCATTTCTCATTCCATGGGCTGTCATTTTGTCTTGTTGACTGTGTCCTTTGCCTTACAGAAGCTTCTTAGTTTCAGGAGGGAGGCAGGAAAAAGGGAAGGGGAGAAGGGGTGGATGAGAACAAGAGGGATCAGGATGACTGAGACAGGGGAGGAACAGAGGAGAACAAGAAAAGAGATACCTACAGAGAGCCAGTATAGGTTTAAAGAAAAATCTGGCACTAGGGAAATGTTCAGAGATACACAAAGATGACTCCAACTAAGAATCTATAATGAGACTGATGACTACCTTAATTGCTATCCTAGAGCCTTCATCCAGTAGCTAATGGAAGCAAAAGCAGGCACCCACAGCTAAACACTGAGTCGTATTCCTGGAATCCAGTTGTAGGGAAGGAGGAGGGATGAGCAAAGGAGTCAAGATCATGCTGGAGAAACCTACATAACCAGCTCACCTGACCTAGTGAGAGCACACGGACCCCAGTTGTGAACCTGGGGAACCAGTATTGGGCTGAACCAAACCCTCTGAATATAGATGCCAGTTAGGAGGGCTGGACAGTCTATGGGACCTCTAACAGTGGAACCAGTGTTTATCCCTATTGCACAAATGGACTTTGGGAGCCCATTCTCTATGGGGGGATACTAATTCAGGCCAGATACATGGAGGAGGTTTTGACAGACTTTAATGATCCCCCATGGAAGGCCTCACCATCCTTGAGGAGCATGTGAGGGGTGGGTTGGGGAGGTTGGTAGGGGGCATGGGAGGATGGGAGGGAGAAGGCATGGGGTGCTGGGGGACACTGATATGTAAAATGGTTGTTTAAAGAATTTTGGATTTTTGATAAAAAATGTACACAGATGACAGTGTTAGAAAAAAGTTAATTTGCTTTAATTAATAAAACAAAAATTTAAGCCAGGTGTAATGGTGCACAGACTTTCATCCCAGCACTTGGGAGGGAGAGGCAGGCATATCTCTGTGAGTTCTGGATCAGCTTGGTCTACAAACACAAGTTCCAGGACAGCCAGGGCACTTGCACAGAGAATTTCTTGAAAAGGCCAAATAAATAAAATAATATAAAACTTACACAGTTTTGCTCCCTTGAACGTTCCAATCCACTCTGTATTTCAGGAAAATTGCATAAATGAGGTCATCTGCCTTCTGGATTCTGATTTAGAAGGATTAGAGTTTACTGGGTCAACAACTGAGGATTCATGAATGTTTCTTGCCTAGTGTCTACCTGCAGGCTTGATGTTTGACAGTCCGTCTTTGAAAAGGTTTAACTCTGAAAAATATTTTTTCATATAGACTTCACTTGGTCCCAGTGGTATCTCTATAATCTCATCCACTGGGCTTGCAGGTTAATAATGACTCTATCGACTGACTCACCGTTAAACCCCACAGCAGACAGTGTAGATTGCTATGGAACTATATTTGCAAGATGGACACTTTTCATATGTATTTTTCTTTGTTCATCTTCATGTGTGTGTATATGCATGTTTACCTATGCATTGGCACATGTGTGGGGATGAGTGTGCATGTGGTTGTGCACACATCTGTGAAAGCAGGAGGCTGATGTCAGAAGTTGGGTTAGATTATTCCTCCACCTTACTTATTGAGGTAGGTGTCATATTCAAATTCAGAACTATTTGATCTGGCTAGTCACAATAACAAGCTTGTTCCATAGATGACTTCTCACTCTTCTAATTAGAAAAGCAGGCAGGCTATCACAGTCATGAAGCTTTTGGAGCCTGGGGATCTGAACTCCCATCTTCCCTCTTCTGTAGCAAGTACTTTGACTGCTGAGCCATCCTCCAGCTCATACACTTGGCATGTATCATAGAGAGTGCTTTGAAGACAAAGTACTAAACAAGTTGTGACTCTACACTTGGGAAAATCTCCGAGAAGTCCGAATAAGGTTTTAACCCACCCTAGGTCCCGGTATTGTTGGTCCTGTGGCCCAAATTTCAGAGATTTAACACATACATTCTTGTACCTAACTGAGAGGCTAATTTTGAATTCCAAGTAGCTGACCTCCCACAGCTGGTTATACTTGATCCCCTGTTTCTTCCATCAAGGCTCAGATTTTTCTTTCTTCACTGCCTCTGAAGTACAACATCTTTTATATTAAGCTGGTACTCATATCAGCATCACAGTGCCTAATGTGTACTGTGCAGAGCCATGTTTCTCACTGTATTGAAAATGGGCATGCTTTTAAATTAAAATATGAGGTACAAATTGAATTAGTCTAAATTAAACCTTATTTGGAAATGATGGGAAGAGTATCTGATATTGGAAACAAATATATAAAACAATCAAATTAAATTATAATTTGGTTTGAGGAAAGATTCTTTCATTAGATTTCTCATATTTTTTATTCAGTTGAACATATTTAAAGAACTTAATGCTTACAATTTAGAATCAACATTAAGATGATTGTGTATGTCTCTGTCCACTCATCATTACTCTTAATGTTATACAGTCTTAGATCAATGTGTAGTGTATAAATTCTTAAAAGAAATATTTCTACATTCCAGGACCATGGTGGGAGTGTCAGTTAAGCATCCATGAAGCTACTTAGAAGGCCAAATGGCCACTAATATTCAGACATATTAGGCTGAATGGAGGCATAAATTTGTGAACTTTTAAGGTGCTGAAGGAAGAATAGCATGGGGATTTCAACCCTGAATTTGGAGGACACCAGTAAATGTAAGTAATCCTGTACTTAAATTGACTTCACAGACCTCCTTACAGAGGTACATTTAATGTAAAATTTATTTCCTTTCAACCTGCATTATTCTATAATGTTTTTAACATACAAAGATTATATAGAAATTCAGAGCCTGCATTCCCACTGCTGAGTACAGAACAGTGTTTCCAAGAATTTGTCTTCACTTGTCATTGTTTCATAACCATAATTGTTTAACTCTTGGTGCCACTGTGTGTGGGTTTTACCATGACTTGCTCCAGGAGACAAAGGTGATGCTGGAATTAATGTAAGATCTTTAATGTATGTAGCTAGTCCATTTCACTCAAGAAACATTACATAAAACTACAGACAAGAATTATACATAACCTGCCCATTGGTCAAAATGTAATTATCTCTTTGATGATATCTCAGAGTCCTTCTCTGTACTGGGAGATTGAGCCCTAGGGCAAGGCCTGAAAGATCTGACATCTCGTCATATTTTTAAGTAGATTTTATTGTCTTTTTAGAAAACATAAAAATCTTACCCTTTACAAGAATATAATCTGCAAGTGTTAACTTATACATTCATATATTTGTCAATTGATACCACCATAACTCAATTTTACACAGTAACATATCATGCCATTTTCACTCAGTTCCTCTACCATGTTTAAAGCCACGTGGCAACTAGAATGCTTTTCATTTCCGTTGATCATACAAAACATATAGTGTAGAGTGCAGTCTTCCCCGCCATCCACCTGGGCCGTGCCATAGTTGCACTCTCCCAAATAACACACAAGTCACTATATTAATTATCAAGCTGTTGGCTTTATTGACATATACACAGGACTTCCCCATCATCTCCTTTTTTCTGTTTAAATAAAAAGAAAGGTGTAGAGAGATGCTTTTTTCTTGTCTGCCGCTTGGTTTTTTCCTCACCAGTTGCCTGGGCTCTGCCGCATTGTAGTCCCCAAATAACACACAGGAGGCTATATTAATTATGAAGCTGTTGGCCTTGCTTGTTTCTTACTGGCTAGCTCTGATTTAAGTATTTATCCCATAATTGTTAATCTAAGTATTTCTCTTACAAGAGAAGTTTCCGTGCTTCTTATCCCTATGGCGGTTACATCTTGACTCCCTGTGTTTCTCCTTCCCAGAGTACTCCTCGACTTCTAGTCCCACATATCTTGCTTCCTTATTGACCAACAGTGCTTTATTGACATATACACAGAACTTCCCCATCAGAAGGTTCTTAACTTTGACATAGTCAAATTATATATAAAAGAACAGCTATCAAGCAAGAACACAGTTACAATATTTTGTCCATAAAATATTCAGCAAGATTTAAAGAAAATATCATCTATCCCATCCTTGTGAGTCCAAAGTCCTATATATAGCTTATCTTTCACCATAACTAAGGAAAACTATAATTATAACTATTTGTCTTCAACTCCATCAAAGACCACAGAAGGATACTATATAAACACTAGAATTGACAGAGACATCTCTCTACCTGGACAGTCACCTGAAGTTCCTCTGTAATGTTGGGGCATCCATCTTCAGCCCATAGGCCACAATGTGTCCAGAAGACTTCTCAGCAAAGCAGGAAATTTCAAATGGTCAACCTACTTTGACAGTCTGTCATTCATTTTTCTATGTCCTGCATGTAGACTCTTCCATGAATCAGGAACCCTGAAGGACAGTTTGAGTTCAGCAGTCATTTTCCTATGGGTCCTGCATATCAAGTTTGTACAGCAACAGACGTAGTTGGTGCTGCCAGTAGCAGACATTTCTTATTGTGAATAAAACCCTAAACCATTTTAAATGCCACTTTCTGAAGGTCTTTGAAAGGTCTGAAGACTATCTATCTATCACAAATATATCTCTGTATATCTAGAAAACCTAACTAACCTAACCATAAGTTCTGACTGTTATAAGTCACTATCTAATGTATTTAATTATGCATTATGTTTAAAAGATTAGTATAAACACAATACTTAATCAAGAGGAGAAATATACATATCACAAAATTGACCTGGAATTTGTATCAATAAATGAAAAACCATACGCATACCTAGTATTCATTTCCATACCACAATCCCCCTTTTACTATTAAAACGAGGTTGGTTATGATCATTAACCAATTATAAGCAACCTTATTTAAATGTAAACAATGATTTATAAACAATATGGGAACTTGGACATTGCTCATTCAAACTGCTTCCTGATGGAAGGAGGTGCTGTTCATACTATGGGTATCATGACAAAACTCAGAAACCTTTAAAAGTCTTTATTTTCATTATCTGTAGGGCTGCATCATCTTAGCTGTATTAATTGTTGGAATACCTGGCCTACTGCTTCCGGGGGTCTTGGTTCATCAAACCACAGAAGCCTGGAAGGAATCCACACCTTTCCATTTTCTGTGGAAACATAAAAAAGAACAAAAACTCTTTCCCCAAGTAACTGGTCCTTATATTTAAAGTTAGAGGTCAAAGCATTATTAATTCAGTAGCATTTATAATCAAGTATATTTCAGCAGTTGTTCCTTCCTTAGCCACTGAACAACAGAGAAACACAATAGCATACAGTATCCAGTCTTTCTATTATTTTCCATCTATTACTCTATTTCTTTTACTTTTATATATGTTTTTCTCTGAGAAAGGGTTTCTCTGGAAATCTGGCTTCCTCTGCCTCTGAAGCAAATCCTACTGGCATGCACCATAACAGCTGGCTTCTCTATTTACCACTATGCCATTTCTTTTTCTCTCTCAATCCTATGTATGTTTTTCAATACACTTTAAAACTTTAGAGGTTTTTTTGGTCATCTGAATCTGACTTTTACTATAAATCTTTATGCTTTTCTAGCCATGTGTCTTATCCGCTAATAACCATGGCTGTTTAACCTGCAGTTTTTCCAAGATGGCAGGCGTAAGTTTGACTCCAGCTCATCACCTCAGTCTATGCTGACATCCAGCCGCATGGTGACGGCTTGGAGATGTGGTCACTGCCACTTTCAGCTGTACGTACACACCTTTCAATTGTTAGCAGAGCCTCTTAAAATAACCTTGCTGGTTTTTTGTTTGTTTGTTTGTTTTTTTATGCTAACTCAGGAAGACTCCTTAAGCGAGCCTTGTGAGTCTCTGCTTGTTCCTAGCAAAACAGAGCCCACCTGAGAAAAACGCTGCTACCAAAAATCTGTGCTTCCCTCCATTCTTTTGTTTCTAAAATTCCTTTTAAGCTTTTGTTATTCTACATGGAAATTCAATCCCACATGCTGACATCATATGTAGAGTGCATCCTTCCCCACTATCTGCCTGGGCCCTGCCACATTTGCAGTCCCCCAAATAACACACAGGACACTGTATTAATTATGAAGCTGCTGGCCGTTTGCTTGGTTTCTTTCTGGATATCTCTGACTTAAGTATTTACCCCATAATTGCTAATCTAAGAATTTCTCTTACTGGAGAAAGGGTCTGAACCTTTTACTCCCCAGAGGCTACATCGTGACTCCCTGTGTTTATCTTTCCCAGAATACTCCATGACTCCTAGTCCCACCTACTTTGCTTCCCTATTGGCCAACAGTGCTTTACTGACATATACACAGGACTTCCCCATCAATATAGTCCTATTGAAATGAATGTAAATATTCTAATATGGTATAACCACAGGCAATATTGAGTACAAGCAATGGCATGTACCTACTGGCAGTACTCCAAACAGAAAACAAGGAAGTTACTCAAAACCTAGATCTCAGGCTTCTGCTGATATCTGGATCAAAGCCAGAAGTCCGATCTAAACCATGTCACCCATCACTTCACTTTACCAGCTGAAGCAGAATGGACAGATAAGCCAGTGCCCGGGTCTTTGTGTCACCCTGTGAGTTCCAAGTGCTGCTGATGACATTGTGCCCCAGGAAGAGAAGAATTCATTTTAACCCAACCATTTAGGCAGAGGACAACTGTTTGCGGAGCTAATTAAAGCTGAGCTAACAGAGATCTGCGGGACACACTGATCCTTGTCCGGGAGGAGAGACTGCTGGGACTGCCAGTCAAAGTCCTAAAATCCATTAAACAGATATTAAAGAGAAAAGAGCAGAGCATGAAGGTCTCAAGAAAGCCTACGTGTGATGAGAGAACAGTCAGTACCTTTGTGTCCTGTGGTTGAGCAAAGTCACCTTCCTGGACATTGAAAGAGTTGCCACCCATTGTCAGGTTTGACAGTAGAGATAAAACTCCTGCAGAAACCTGATATCTGTGTCTTTTACATCATTGCATTCATTATGTATAGGTTCAGAGAACAAGATGGGACTCTTGGTACTCATATCCATCACTGTACCATGTACAACTATGACTATTTTCCTGGTTTGGAAGGAATTGGGAAGCCATGTAATTTTTATTTCTAACTTACCTAACTGGAACTAGTTCAAGATATGTACAACTTTTTCATTTTTTAGCCTTCATTATGCAAACCAACTGAAGATAATTATTGCATAGTTATGGTTAATTGACAGTGATACACTTATATTTAGATTTAGTCAAGATAACTATATCTAGCATAATAAGGATGTTTCCCCATGTCCTCAGTTTCCTGTTATTACCTAATACCATCTAACAATCAGGTTTCCAAACAAAATATAGTCAAGCTCTCTTTCAAACATGGACCCAACCTCTTTAGCTATATGGTTTCTGTTTCCAAAGTGTTGTGTATTTACAGAAAATATTGCCCAAAATTGTAGGGGGAAAATTAGGACTGCGCCATTAGCCAGGTGGCACTCTAGAGGCACATACAATTGTAGTAATGATAGGGTGGTTCACCGTGCTGCTAACCACACCTACTTTGGGCGTGACTAGGGACACATACAGATATGGTCATGATAGGGTGGTGAACTATGCCACTAGCCCGGCCCAATTTTGGGTGTGGCTAGAGGCGTGTACAGAGGTAGGATTCTATGCTCCCATTCACTCCTCCTCTGTCTTCATTCAGGTGGGCTAAGGCCTCCCATAGGAATCAAAAGAGTATG